CTGGTGGCAGATCCAGTGGGGTGTCTCCACTGAAGTTTTTGCATCTTGCATGGTCTCTGGGGTCTTGTGTGCCAATGTTGCCTGTGGTTCCAAGTACTTGTGTGGCCTCTAGGGTTCCTAGTAAGGCACAGCCTCTGGTAAGGCAAAACCCTTCTGCCAAAATTGTAGGCTGAGATATGGAGCCCAGGGGAGTGTGTGCATTTGGGGGCTGTTGGGTGTGCTCAAGTGGGTCTTAACTGGCAGTAGGTGATGTCTTATCTGGGGTTCCTAGTACTAGCATGGCCTCCAGGAAAGCAGGTCTTCTGCCCAAGTTTTGGCCCAGAATATGGAGCCCAGGAGAGCAGGGGTCTGTTGGATGGGCTTTAAGTGAGTGTGAGGGGATAGTGGGAGGTGTTTTACTTGGAGTCTGTAGAACAGGTCTGGCCTGTGGTAAAGCAGAAGTCTTCCAGAGTTGTGGGCTGGAATGTGGAGCCCAGGGGGGAGGGGTACAGTTTTTTAAAATTAGTATATATTGTTCTAGTGTAAGTTGCATAAAAGTTGGCACTCACTTAATAGCAAAAGTTTGTTTGTAGAAGTGTTCTCTGAGGATTGAGGTCTGGCCAATAGAAATGTAGAACACGTATAAATGAACACATGCTCTTATGAAATACAGGGTTCAAGAGCAAAGTGAGTGAAAGCCATTTAACATAATTCATTAGTATTTTTATCTCTGTGATTAACTCCACCTGTATGACTGACAGTGTAAAGGAACATAAATAGGACATTCCTGAACACTTTATCCCACTACTCTAAGTGGGATGGGACACTGTACATGAAGTATATTAGCAGTAGTGTGTAGGTGTAGATGTTCCTGTTCTGGAGAAATAAAAATTGGGCAGATTAATGCATCGGTTTATTTCCCTCTGCAATAAAAACAGGCAGGCTGGAATATGCCCAAATATAAATAATAAATAAAGGATGTCTATGGGTTTTGCCAGATATTTTAGTTCCTGTAGTAATGGAAGCTTAACAGAAACTGCAGTTAAAATTAAAGTAGTTCCTATTGCTGGAAATATTTCAACAACATAAGCAGAATCTGAAACAATATTTAAAGGTTTATAAATTAACTGTAATACATGAATCAAAACAGCCAGTTCTACCTGTTGAGCTCAAGAAAAAGAAGTATTGATAGATTGATGAATATCTGGACTATAAATCCTTCCTGATCCATTAGATGAGCCATCAATAAAATAAATATCTGCCTGTGGAAGAGGAGAGGTTTGGACAACTTTTGTAATCACAAATTTGGATCATATGGAAAAAACCCTCTCTTGCCAGCTCGATAAAGATTCCCTTTCTTTCCATATTAGTCTGCAAATGATTTTAAAGTTCATATGCTGCAAGCAGCAGGAAAACGTAATGGGATCCAGCTTCTATAACAAAAGCTACTATTTGAAAAAGTCAAGGACTTTTCTGAAGCCATGGCTTAAGAAATCTTGGTGGTATTTTAGCACTCATGCACACACACGCGCACACACACACACACACACACACACACACACACACACACACACATATATATATGCTGGTTCCTACAGTGATTTTCTCGTATGCTATGTGTGCTTCCAAGAACTCCTAACAGTGTATTTATCTAAAATACCTATCAAGCATCCAAGGCCAAATGATCTCCTGAACTAAGGAAACAATACCTGTCTTCTTGGTCAGGCAGATAGCTTTATTTATTGTGCAATTTAAGCTGAGACCCCCCTTTCTTATACAGCCTTACTAACATTACAGATGCCTAACGTTTTTACCTAACCACTTCTAGGAATGTAGTTTGAGCACATAAAGCCCCCTTTTTTGATATATTAACTGATTTTAGCTCTCAGTTGACCTCTTCCCTTACCACTCCCTTTTTGGGTTGCAAAAGAAAGCCTGACAGTCACTGCCTAAGGAAAATTCTTTATGAACCTGTAAGAATTCAAGCCTGGTGACCTTGATTTGGCTAGAGCACTGTTATTACATGGGTACATCACTGCAAACCTCAGAGATTTAGGGAGGATTTTTGAGGATTTTGACTGGAGAGGATTTAGACTGGAGAATTTGAATGAGATGGAAGATGAGGAAGAGCTATATGGGGAAGAACGAGATGAGAAAGACGAAGGTGGGGCAGAACTAAGATGAGAGAATTAAGATAGAACTTAGTGGGGACAGCAGATAAATGTAGAGAGAAATCAGGTAAGAAAGGAGCTAGGTATGAGAGCAGAACTAAGCTGTGTAGATAGGATTTTATCCTACAGGAATAAAGTAGACAAAGAGCACGGTGTACATAGATTCTTTTCCCCAAAATAATTCTCACCGTTCATAGCTTCTCTTCTGAGCTCCTGGGAAGAATATTAAGGCTGGTCCTTAATAATATTCGAGATTCATACAATTCTCTAACATTTAAACATCTCAATTTTGCTGAAGCTGCACTGGAAATACCAATTACACCTCATGAGGCCAGTAAGGAATTGGTAAATAAAATCAACTTTTTAATAGGCTCTCCTAAGTCTTCACTAAAATGCAGAGAATTGAAGATTAGATTGATGAGTAAATTACTCACCCCATGCTTCAGGGTCATTTTCAGAAAATGGAGTATATGTATATAAAGTAGGCTCCAGTGAAGTAACTGAGGGAGCTGTCCTCAGCACGCACTTAGGTGATATTTTTACTTTTGATTTTGCCTGAACAAGGAAAATCACCTTTGTGCTTCTTTTACTAATTAAAAGTTTGATCATAAATTTTATAGTCATTGAAAGAATTCATAATGAGTCTTTCATGATTAATATCCTCCTTGTCTTCCTTAGTTTAATAACAGTCCATGTTAATGACCAAAGGACACAAAATTGAACAGGGATCTTTTCCTTGTTTATACGCCTTTTCACTATCATTTTGGGCTCTGTCCATACTTCATCTAAAATTCTAAACTAATAATTGTGATTTTAATGTTAATAGTATGCTCCATTCTTTAAAAAAATGATGCACTAGGTCAACATAAGGAACCTACTCCCACCCCTGTCCCGCCCCTCATTTCTGCCCCATTATTCTCACTCATCTCTCCTTCACTAAGGGTCCTCTCTTTAACTTGTAGCCAACTTCCAGTTTCTGTTCAAGTGCCACTTTTCACCACTCTAAAGATGGTGGAACTTGGGAAAATGGAGCCAATAAATGAGGAGGACTATGGCATGATAGCCAACTTTATTCAGTGTCCCATACAATTTATACTCTGCAGGTTAAGAAAGGTCGTGAGTAAAGTTCTCATGAGTTCAAGCTGTATACAATAATAAAAAACAAGTGACGTATGACAAAAACACGCTTTTCCATAGTCATATAAAGGTTAGTTGAAACATTTAATTGAATAAGAAGAGCAAGCAATAATGAGTAATCTGAAGTCAACTCACACCTATCTGCTACACCTGGGAAGAGCACAAAAACATTCCAATTTCATGTTTTGAAGAAAGCAAGGTCACAAGACTCCTGTCTTGACTTCTGGGAGTGTTAACATAATCATGTAGAATTCTCCTCAATGACTCTTTTCAGGACCATGTTCTGACAATATATCTAAATTTATTTTAATTTTAGGAAAAAACATAACATATACATGAAGAAAGCTTTTAAAAATATGGAGTCATGCATGCTTGCACACACACAAATACATATATATCTGCACCATTTGATACCTGGTGCCCAAGTAAGTCAGAAGAGTGCATCAGATCTCCAGGACAAAGCTTTAAAAGTAGTTCTGAGCCATCTGATGTGGGTGCTAGGAACCAAATTTGGGTACCCAACAGCAGCTTTATTATTGAGTCAAATCCCCAACTCGCCAATATGTCATTATAATGTGGAAGATGAAGATACAACACTAATGTTTCTGTCTTCTATCACTTAAAGGTGATGAAATTCCCTACTATTTGGTCATTGAAGAATTGAATGATCTATCCCTCTGTGAATGGACTCAGAACATTGCTTCTTAATGTAATTGTAAACACAGATTGAAGACAATAAAAGATTTACTTGAGTCCAGACTATATTAAGTAAAGTTTTATAATTTGATATAGTCTTTTTTATAGTTTATTTTACATGCATTGGTGTTTTGTTTGTATGTAAGACTGTGTGAAAGTGTTGGGTAACATGGAACAGGACTTACAGACAGTTGTGAATTTCCATGTGGGTATTGGGAATTGAAACTGTCCTCTGGAAGAATAGCCAGTGTGCTTAATTGCTGAGTCATCTGTCCATAACCCTTTTTTTTTTTTTATTAATTTTTGGAGACAGGATGTCTTAGTTAGAACTTTGGTAATGAAACACCATGATCAAAAAGCAAGATGGGCAGAAAAGGGTTTATTTGGTTTACATTTAAGCATTGCTGTTCATCACTGAAGGAAGTCAGGACAAGAACTCAAGCAGGGCAGGAACTTGGAGGCAGGAGCTGATGCAGAGGCCATGGAGGGATGCTTCTTAGTGGCTTGCTTCCCATGCCTTGCTCAACCTGCTTTCTTTTTCTTTTTTCTTTTTTTTTTTTTTTTTAAGATTTATTTATCTTGTATACAATGTTCAGCCTGCACACCAGAAGAGGGCACCAGATCTCATTACAGATGGTTGTGAACCACCATGTGGTTGCTGGGACTTGAACTCAGGACCTCTGGAAGAGCAATCAGTGCTCTTAACCTCTGAGCCATCTCTCCAGCCCCTCAACCTGCTTTCTTATAGATCCCAGGGCCTTTACCAATCAATCATTATTTTTAAAAAAAATTGCCTTATACCTGGATCTTATGGAAGCATTTTCTTGAGTTTTCCTCCTTTCAGACAACTCTAGTGTGAAATTGACATAAAACTAGCCAGTACAACTGACCTTTTGTCAACTTGACACACAAACATCACTATTAAGCCACAACCCTTCCTTTCTTATTCATTCCCAAGATCTCACATTAAAAACATAAATAACTTTAATAAAAGTCCTATAATCTTTACAAATTCAAACACATTAAAATTTTTTCCTTAAAAATATTCAATCTCACAATAAATCCAAAATCTCTTTTAAAAGTTCAAAGTCTTTCAACTATGGCTTTTGTAAAAATATCAAAATTAAGTTAAATACCTTCTCTCTTCAAAAGGGATGAATTAGGTCAGTCACATCTGAAAGAAGGAAAAAAAAACTCAGTATAAATAACTCCACTACTAATGACTGGAATCCACTCCCAATCTTCAGGGCTTCTCTGGCTCCACCCTTGGCAGTTCCCACAACTTTGCTTCTAGGCTCTTACTGGTTCCACTTTACCACTGCTGATGGTCTTGGTGGACACTCCATGGTACTGGCATCTCCAAAATGATTTTGTCTCTGCCTGATGTACAAGGTTTTACCTCTTATGTTCATGGGATTTTTCTCTAGTATGTATTCTTTCATGCCTGTGAAGATGACTGTTATATGCAAAAGCTTTACCACATTGACTACATTCATAGGAATTCTCCCCAGTGTGACTTCTTTCATGCCTGTGAAGATGACTTTTCTCAGCAAAGGCTTTACCACATTGATTACATTCATAGGGTTTCTCTCCAGTATGAATTTTTTCATGACTGAGAAGATGACACTTCTGTGCAAAGGCTTTACCACATAGATTACATAAATATGGTTTCTCTCCAGTATGACTTCGTACATGCTTTTGAAGAGTACTGCTATCTGCAAAGGCTTTATCACATTGATTACAAACATAGGGTTTCTCTCCAGTATGACTTCTTTCATGCTTGTGAAGATTAATCTTTTGTGCAAAGGCTTTACCACATTGATTACATTCATAGGGTTTCTCTCCAGTATGACTTCTTTCATGCCTTTGAATACTACTAGGATATGCAAAGGCTTTACCACATTGATTACATTCATAGGGCTTCTCTCCAGTATGATTTCTTACATGTTGTTTAAGATTACTGGAATTTGCAAAGGCTTTACCACATTGATTACATTCATAGGGTTTCTCTCCAGTATGATTTCTTTCATGCTTGTGAAGACTGCTGTTATCTGCAAAGGCTTTACCACACTGATAACAAACATAGGGTTTCTCTCCAGTATGACTTCTTTCATGCCTGAGAAGATTACTCTTCTGTGCAAAGGCTTTACCACATTGATTACACTGATACAGTTTCCTGCCCGTATGAATTCTTTCATCCCTGTAAAAATCACCAGTACTTGCAATGGCTTTGCCAAATTGATTACATTCACAGGGTTTCTCTCCAGTATGAGTTGTTTCATGTGTTTGAAGGTAATTGTGACATTGAAAGGCCTTTCCACACTGATGACATCCATTCTGAAGATGACTATGATATGCAAAGGCTTTATCACATTGATTACATTCATAAAGTTTCTCTCCAGTATGTGTTCTTTTATGTATTTGAAGATTACTATGATATGCAAAGGCTTTATCACCTTGATTATATTCATAGTGTTTTATTTTCAAAGGAATTCTTTCATGCAAATGTAAAGAGGAATCAGATCTAAATGTTTTATCCCATTGTTTACATTCATAGGGTTCCTCTTCATTACCAGATCTTCTACATGTTTGAATATACCTGTGACAGTTCAAGTCTTTAGTACATGGCTCACATTTACAGCATCCTTTCCCTATGTGAGTTATTTCTCCTCTTTGAAGAGAACTAGAAAAACTCAGAGCTTTACAATGATCACATTCAAAACATTTTCCTGAAGTGTGAGTCACATTACATGTGCAATCTGAACCAGGACAGGTTGAAGAATTTCCATATTCCTTGTCCTCATAAGGTTTTCCCCCAGTGTAAGTATGTTGATATATTTCCAATGAATTAATTGGAAATCCAATTAATTGTACACTTAAATCACGATCACCATGTCTTCTCATAGTTGGAAATACTACATATCTTCCAATTTTTCTGGGAGAGAGAGAGGTACATTGCTTCTTTCCATATCCCTTATGCTCACATGGCTTATATCTAGAATGACAGGTGATATACCTATTAAAGCAACAATTACAAACAAAAGGTTTTCATATTGCATTCACACTTTTCATTCCTCATAGAGATGTGGTATAGAGATTAAGGTCTCTCCACCACAACACGCTTCTTGATTGTTACAAACTGCCCTTCTCACTAAACTATGATAAATCACTAGAAGTATATGAGCAACAATAGCTTTACTATGCACTATTTGCTTATAAAAGGTCTTAGACACACCCAAATCCCCTAATGAATATGAATGCCTTTTCAATACTTGAATGGAATGAAACTGTATGGATGGATAATTCTACAACAAGGCTATGATTAATATGGTGACATTTGTTAAGGCATTGTTTCCTTGTCTTGTTTCTTAGAAGACTACATTGCAAACAGATCATGCTACCTGAAACAGAAGTACATAATGTTGCAGGAATTTAATAATCATCACAAAGCTGTAATTATTTACACTGTTGTTTTTCATTAAATATCAGGACATATTAAAATTTCTTCAAAGGCATAAATGTATTTCCTTGCAGATGAAAATTACCTTCCATGTCTTCTAGAACTTTGACAATGTTCTTCAATATTCTGGTCTTCCCATTTGTAGCCTAAAATATAGTACCAAAAACGTATGATATACTATTGAAAATTATGCAAAATTTGAGTTGAAATCACAGTGGAATACCAATGTCCAAAAAAGGCTTGTCCCCTTAAGCTAAAATGTGACAGAAAGCTCACATTCTTACCTACAGAAATGAGGTTTTCATAGGTTTCCAGCATCACATCTTTGTAGAGACTCTTCTGGGAAGAATCCAGCAAAGCCCACTCTTCCTGAGTGAAGTTCACATGCACATCCTCATAGGTCACTGCATCCTAAAATATCCCACATACATATGTAATAGAAATGTTGAGATTGAATACATTTCAAATGTACACTTCATTGTGAATATATTTACATAATTCTGTGTGCTCAACAGAATTTCAAATGTAATCACCAAATCATTTTAGAAGGAAACAGAAAAGAAGGACCATGACTATCATTTCTGGGCCCTCTGAACAGTATATGACATTCCAAGAAAAATGCTAACTTACATATAGAGAGAAACATGCAAACAGAGCAATAGTATTGAGTAAACCTCAACTAAATTGTATCAAAATTACTGACATCATAAAAGGATGGACAAGATGGGTATGATGGTGCACACTTTTAATGACAAAACTCAGGAGGCAGAGACAAGTAAATCTTCATGATTTCCAGGCCAGCCTGGTCTGGATAAAGATTTCCAGGAGACCCTGTCTCAAACAAACAAACAAAGACAAAAAAGAGAACACTCAGGGCTCACACTAAATTCCACCAATGAGTTAAAAATCCACTTCATAAATGTACTTGTCTTTCAGAAAAATGGAGTGCCTCACCTAAACTCTAAGGGTTATATAATATTCATATTGAAGAAATGCATTTTTAATGAGTGACTGACAGATCAAAAGATTCCTCAAAAACAGTGAGTACAAGTTGATGCTAAAAAATTCAAACAAACAACAAACTAAACCCAACAGAGTATAAAGATGGCTCAACAGTTAAGATCACCTGCTACTTTTGAGGACCTGAATCAATCCCGAGTACTCACTTGGAGGTCCCAACAATTTGTAACTCCAGTTCAAGAGAATTCAGTGCTCTCTTCTGACTTCAGTGAACACTAGGCACACACACAGTAAACACACACACACACACACACACACACATATATGCAAAAGACCCATGCACACGTTTCAAAAATTAAAACATGCATAACTATATGGAGAAAGTTAAACATCTGCAATGTAATGATTCAGGAGATCAGTATCGCCATGAATGTATGTCATCCTGGTGGTCAACAATGATACTTTTTGCCAGAGTTTAAAAGTAAAGAAGTGGGTAAAGCTCAGAACAAAAGCAAATTTTCACATATACAAAAACCTAATTCTATCATCAAATACATAAAAATAAAAACATCAGGGCAGAAAAATGGCTTAGCAAGAAAAAGCAATTGCATCTATTTTATCTTACATTATTTAGGGATGGAGTCTGTTATGATGGTAATGGCATGGCTGCATGAGAAGGAAGGGGACTGCTCAGCTTCAACCACAGAAAGAAGACAAGTGTGGTCATGGGTATAAACACTCAACACCTATCCCCAAATACTAACATACTCTGGAAAGGCTGCTCATCCTAGAGGTACCATATGCACCCCTATGAAAACTACAAACCACAGGTCTCAAATACATCTTTGTACTTGGGAGAGTTTTCATTCAACCTACCATGTATTAACACAGATCATGATAGCTTCATACTCAACCCATAATCCAAAATGCAATTAGTCTAACCACAAAAATATCCATATTCTATAACAGTCCCAACATTGTTAGAATGTAAAAAGTTTCTTCTGACACTGAAGGCAGTCTCCAGAATGTGTTATCTTGTGAAATCAAAAAATTACCCAACACACAATGGCACAGTATACACATTATATCTACCCAACAAACAATGGCACAGTATACACATTTCCTTTTCAAAGAAGTAAGGAAAGACTGAACCAATATGAGACTGAAACCCTGCAGAGCAAACACCAAATCCTGCTGCTCTCTGTTAGACACCTGGGGCTATAGTTTTAAAAGGCTTAGATGGCTCCTTCTCTTTGACATTTTTCACACCTCTCTTTCTTGCTTCTTCCACATCCTACATCCAGATATTCATGGCAATGTCTCAGAGCTTGGGTATCTCGACATCTAGTGGTCTCAAAATGCTACCCAGTCTTCATTTTCACATCTTCAAACAATTAACAATCAGTCTCCTCACTGGGGCCTTGACTCTGCCAAACAGATGGCTGCAACAGCGCTGAACTGAAAGCACAGAGGAAGAATCCAGGACTGTCATCTGAAACCACCTAGTGCTGTTTTTCTTGCCAAAACACACAGGTTTCATGATTTTCTTTCCCTATTGTTGCTCTTTTCCTCTACAGATCTGCATGAGTCATCAGTAATGACCGTGCAACAGACTAAATGTTGTAAAGACAGTCCATGACTGTTTAATTTAGCCTTACTCACTTTCACAAGTTATGGGAAGAATACATACAGACAATACGCCAAAATATTACACAAAAATATCTATCTTAGGCCCCCGACTTCCCTTCTGGACCAGAGGTGAGTACCCGGGTCCAACCCGGACCCCATCCCTGGGCACCAGCCACTCCGGGAAGACCTGCCCAACTTGGCACCAGATTCTGGCCACCGGGCAGCTCCCCTTCTAGCCCCACCGGGAAGGATCCCCTTTTCCAAACCCCCGGCAGGCCCTGCAATCTCCGCGCCCTGCCCCCACGCCCATCTGCCCGAGACCCCAGCCACTTCCTGAGACTCAGAGACCGGCGCCCAGCTCTCAGCCTGCCCCCCGACTTCCCTTCTGGACCAGAGAGTTGGACAAGAGAACTCCCTTTTGGACAAGAGAGAGAGTCTTCCTGAATCTGTCAGCTCTTTCTGAAACAAGTACACTGATAAGACCAAGAAGGAACCACAAGGAGATGGGCAGACGTCAAGGCAGAAGTACATACAACAAAATGAAGAGCAATACAGCATCA